CTTTAGTGCTGAGGCAAACATTTCAACTGCAGGACCAGGCGTGTCAATGGCCATGGTGCCGTGATAACATCTCTAAAAGAAGTTCGTAACCTTTTGGGGATATAAGTCAATAATTGTAGAATTAAGTTTATTTTTTAAATTTATATTAATTATTTTAAGTATTATTGTAATATAATATTTCAATACTAAAATTATAATGCTATTGAAAATAATAGTTATATCTAAAATAACAAGAAAATGTTTTTCATTTGTCAGATATACTCACCAACTGAACAGCATAATTAATATTCTAACGTGGAAATAGTAGTTTTCTGGTTGATTTTCTATTTTATATACACCATTACTAGCTAATCCCTTCTGAATTCTATGCTTTTAATGCCAAAAAATCAATTCACCTGCAGCTTGTAGCCCAGCCTGGAATTGGACATCAAATGACACCGTTGATGGTAAAAGAAGTAAGTGATTGGTTTGATAGGTTCTTAAAGGGGTGAGCTACCTAAATGATTTTGATAGTTGCATCTGTTATGAATATATACACATATATATATATATATATATATTGATCAATGTGCTTGAATTCGTGAGATTCAGAAAGCTCTTGGTGTGTGGTTTTTAATAAAGCTGTTGCTTTTTTCTAATAAGAGAACTAATTTTCATGGGAGATTTAGCTCAAGTTTTCTCTTCCCATATGATCAATTGAGTTAAAAGTCTGATCCTTGAGAGCTTTTATTTTAACAAAGTTTGAATGTCTAGAATAATCTCAGTTGTATCATATATAAATGCACAGAAAAACGATAACAAGCTATAGAATTGTTACTTGATCCAGGGTTTGCAATAGGAGAGGACTCTCTCTTCCTCCAGACAATTAAGGTTGAATAATGGCCACAATGGGACAACCATAGGTCCATATGTGTAAGGAATGAGAGTACAGATCTTGTGTGTCTATAGAATTAGGTAGATCTACTGGTTATGCAAAGCCCAATCCACAAAGTCTGGATAACCATCATTCCACATTAGCTTTTTTAAGTACTATAGTAACCGATAACTGTTATAGTTGTTTTTTTTTTTAAATAACTATATATGTTAGGTTTTTTGGAAGTATCCAGTGTCTAAGTCACCTTAATCCATAGAGTGAGGGGCCATGTAAACTTTTGTTTAAGTTTAATAGACACTCTAATTAATGTTTTCAACTATGTAGTAAAACTTGATAATTTGTTTTTTTTATTAATTTAATAAACCATTATAATATAGTAATTCCTCTATTTCTCCCGAATATCAATGTTATCCAATGTCAACCTCTTATAATATAATACTTGTATATGATATCCAACGTGTGCCTACATCTGCTTCTCGAGTCCCCATTTAGGAATTTCCATTATCAAGCTTGTTTCAAGGTGTCAAGCTTCAGTCCCTTACACAATTTGTTTTTTGTTTTTTTTTTTATAAGGGCATCCAGCTTTACATTTCACAATGCTTGTTTATTGAGGTGACTAGCTCCACCTCTCACAATTGCTTCGCCAAACACTTCTCACAAGAAAGGAGCAGCCACTCTTTTTTAATTCCATCTTAAGAATTGAGAGATGAAATATAATGTTTTTCCCTTTCTCTCCCTCAATAATGAATAATACAATTGAAGCTTAAAAGGAATCATCTTTCAAGCTCAAGAAGAAGATGATGATATTCAAGTTTTTATACTCTTTTAAAAATATTTGAATTCAAAGCTCATGTCAAAAGTTTTTTTGCTTTTTTTAAAAATGCATTTGGAAGGCTATATATAATTTGAGTAAGAAAATTATTTGTCATTGATGTTAAAGAATAGATAATAGCAATAAATGTTTTCTTTTTTACTATTACCCAGAAATTTAAAAAGTCCAGTCTATTTGCATTATGACTCAAGTGTAAATTATATATTTTTTAAAAGTGACTATTTTACTCTCAACTTGTGACTGACGTTCATGAAATTTGAAAGACTTTGTTCGCATTTCAAATGACTTGAAAGTGAAACAAGTGTGAGTTAAAAGTATGTAGAAAAAATTTTAGAATATCTTCTTTTAAAAAAAAAAAAACTTTTCTTTAGATGAATTCTTGTGAGTTTCTTTGAAATCGTTTTCGAAATATCTTTCTAAAATTTTAAATCAATATATTCGTATCTTTTGAACTATAAAATCTATTAAACAAGTAGCTAGTGAAGCTATTACTAATGTATAAACTTCAAGATACATTTTGGCTCATCATTTTCCTTAAAAATTTTCTAATCCGTAAGTTGTTTCCTTTGTTGCGTATCTTAATTTACAAGGGTTTAAGAAGAGTCAATATTAATATTAATTAAATATCGTTATGATAAAATTCAGTGAATATATTTTAACAATCGCTCCATTTTTTTTGGATAACAAAAGTTAATCTTACATCCAATGTTATAAGCAAAATAATAAAGAAGATTTTTAGAAGGAGATATGATTTTTATATATATGAAACTCTTTTTTTCTTAGTATCTTAAAAGAATGAGTGAGTAAATCAGAATATATATATATATATATACTTATATACTTGTCTCTGCGTGTGTGTGTGTGTATAATTCTTCCTTGCTATGTGTTTACCCTTTTTCCAATAAATAACGTCATCATAGCCCTCACAAAGTTCTTTTAACAATTTACAGTACAAGTATATTTATGATTTCTCAATAGTTAATGAATGTATTTATATCTCCTAATAGTAATTTGTAAACATAGGGGATGCATAATAATTTTATAATTAAGAATACATTGTGTTCAAGAATCTATGTTAAATCATATTTTATTGGATACTAACTTCACAATCAATGTTTATATTAATTATATTATGTTCAACTATAACATAGAAATATAACGTAGTCAAATTTATCGATCTTTATAATTAGATAACAATCTACAATCATCAAATTAGATTTTACAAATCATCATGATGGAACTTCGCAAATCATCATTGAAAAAAATGGAAAATTTCAAAACATAAATTTTTCAATAGATCAATTTATTTCTCCATTTTTATGTCATCTATCAATAACAAATTTAAAAGCATGAGGTTGGACAAAACAAGATTCAAGGATTAATAAATATTCAAGCATAATTACAAAAAACCTAAAATATTGTATTCAAGGAATTAAAAACATAAGATTGCTACTAAAATGTATTGACGGAATTAAAAATATAAGATTTAAATATTGTATTCATGGAATTAAATATTCAAGGTTGATAAATATGTTATCTTCCCAATGTTAAAAAGATTATACATGACCTTAAAGATTGCTACCAAAATAACATGGCATAAGAGGAAAACATATAATGATGCACTTATGAGACATCTATATGAATTTGAAGCTAAGAAAAGCTTTAATAGAAAATATTCTTCATTTCCTGTAGAATCACGCAATATTTGAGTTAAATTTGTGGTTTTAATTCATTTGGGAATATGAGTTTTTGTTATACTATATGATAAGTTGTTCTCATTAATCACAATTTACGATTCGGAATGTACATGAAGAATTCTTGTTTCATTCTATCAATGTTAACGGTTTTAAAGCTCCAAAAAATAACATTAATGTATACCTGTAATTATTAATAGATGAACTAAATGATTTATGAGAAATAGAAGTTGAGATTTATAATGCAAAATTAAAAAATAAAATTCGGTTACATATACTTATAATGCGAATATTGCTTCTTTATCAGATATTGAAAATGGACGAGATTGTAGATAATTTATATGAATTAAAGATGAAATATTCTATTTACATACATGAGATTAGATTTTATTAGCGAGTACAATAAAGATAATAGAGATATTTAGTTACGACATAGTTTGACTATAATGGCATTAAGGTGCATCCGAAATTCAATGGTGGAGAGAGACTAGAAAATCTTTGCTTTGGACTTTTAAGAGATAATGTTTGTTTTTCATGACTTAATTAAGTCATATAATAATAATAATAATAAAGAGAATCTGGTCTAGAGGAGGACCCAAAGGTAGTCGCTGCTCTACGCACAGTTCCTTCCGATATACGACGCCGTTCAGTTTTAACGATGTCGGACCCTTTGAAATATCTCGCACAAATATTTAAAACCCAAAACATTAACGCGCAACCACTGTCAACCGAAGCTGTTAAGCAGAGCAGCTTCGTAAAACCCT